CAATGTCTAGCACCCTCTAGTGGCAAGTTACCAGGAGAACTAGAATTACGTGTTATTTAATAAAACATTTTTTGAAAAGTGTGCAGTAAGAACAAAAATATTTTTTATTTTATTTTTATTTTTTTAAAAATATATTTTATTGATTTTTACACAGAGAGGAATTGAGAGGGATAGAGAGTTAGAAACGTCGATGAAAGAGCTACATCGACCAGCTGCCTCTTGCACACCCCCCACTGGGGATGTGCCCGCAACCAAGGTACGTGCCCTTGACCGGAATCCAACCCGGGACCTTTCGGTCCGCAGGCCGACGCTCTATCCATTGAGCCAAACCGGTTTCGGCAACAAAAATATTTTTTAAAGGATGCCCTGTCAGGGATGATTTTCAGAGAGTCTGGGACCAAAGAGTAAAGAGAACATTTCTTTCTATCTTTTTTTAATATGTATTTTATTGATTTTTTACAGCGAGGAAGGGAGAGGAATAGACAGTTAGAAGCATTGATGAGAGAGAAACATCAGCCAGCTGCCTCCTGCACACCCCCTACTGGGGATGAGCCCACAACCAATATACATGGCTCTTGACCTGAATCGAGCCTGGGACCTTTGAGTCCGCAGACCAACGCTCTATCCACTGAGTCAAACCAGTATCGGCAAGAGAACATTTCAAAGATGGCCCTCGAGACTGGGGTGAGCAACCCACAGGATAGTCTACTAGACAAGTATTTCCACAGAACAGTTTGCAAGATCTGCTGTAGATTAGGTGACAACAAAAAAAAACAAAATAACCACCCCTACATGATAAGGGAAAAAGTGACCTTCTTAAGAGGGCACAGGGACTGAGGCACAAATGGTTACTGCTCATTAGACATTACAGGAGGCATGGCATTTTGAATTTCTATGTTCTGCCAAGGTTTCATAAACCCAGAAATAATTCTATGTTAAACAGAGACCAGGTTAATATTACTCAACTTGCAATTTTTTAAGTAATACATATATTTCACATGTTCACTACTCTATCTCAGTACCCAAAACAATTCTTGCCTCTTGATAAATACATATGAAAGAAGAATTCCAACAGCAATGGGAATGGACCGAGAGGTTTTAAATAGAGAAGTGACATGCACTTAAGAAGGATCTTTAAAAAGATCACGCTGGCTGTTGCGTGGAGAATGGATTAAGAGAGACCAGTCTGAAACATGGGAGATCTTTTGCTGGCTGCACTTCCCTCCTGCTGGATGTAGTTTAGGTTAATAAGATATTTGCTAAGAAATGACATTCACGTACAAAGTAAGCGAATCTGAGGCCTTGGTGGTGCGTTACATTAGCTCTTTCAGAAACATGGCTTCTTTCCCTTACAGCTATGTAAATAGCTAACGTTTACATCGCATTTATTATGTGTCAAGCAATCTAAATGCTTTATTATACATTGTATGTATATTTTAGCATAAGACTGTTAACCCAAAATACAATAAGGTTAAGAACCTAAAATGTTTGAATAGTTAAGAGAAGACAAAGTATAAGAAAAAAAAAATACACTTTCAATTTGACATGTTATTTTTAAGGTAATTTATAAATCAACTTCTTAGAAATCATAATAAAATTTCAACATGTCATTTATAAAACATTTTTGTTAGATTTTTATTATGAGAAATATAACTTTAGCCGTGGCCAGTGGGGCTCAGTTGTTGCAGTGCCGTCCTGTACAACAAAAGGTGGCAGGTTTGATTCCCAGTCAGGGCACACACTTAGGTTGCAGGCTTACTCCCTGGTTAGGGCACGTGTGAAAGGCAACAGATCGATGTTTCTCTCTTTTTCTCTCTCTCTCCCTTACTTTTTCTAAGGTTAATTAAAAAAATTAATTAATTAATTAAAAAAATATATATATAGCCCTGACTGGCTTGGCTCAGTGGATAGAGCGTCAGCCTGCAGACTGAAGGGTCCCAGGTTCGATTCCGGTCAAGGGCATGTACCTTGGTTTCGGGCACATCCCCAGTAGGGGGTGTGCAGGAGACAGCTAATGGATGTTTTTCTCTCATCAATGTTTCTAACTCTCTATCCCTCTCCCTTCCTCTCTGTAAAAAAAAATCAATAAAATATTTCTTTTAAAAAGAGAGAACTATAACTAGTTGAAATTACTCCCAGATATGCTAACAGTGATTATATGAAATAACTAATAACCTATCTTTATGAATAATTCCTAAATCATTTTTATTTTTCTAATTTAAGGTACAACTTTATTGAGGAGTTCCCTGTATAATAAATAACCACAACTGATAGTTATCTAGCAACTGACAATACATATCCATTATCTTATTAATCTTGTAACAACATTGTGAGATAGGGATTTAGGCTCACAGAGTTCATGTGATGTTTCAAGGAAGGCAAGAAGGCAATGATAATGTCAAGATTCAAACCTGAGACTTCTAGATCATCCTCTATACCCAAGAACCTCACAACCAAAACTGGGAGGAGAAACAAACCCCACTGCCCCTTTGCAGGCACATGGCAAATTTTCCTTTTTGTCATAATGACCAAAGATCTCCAAAGTACAGATCATGTATAATGAATAAAAAAATTCAAAGACAATACTAAATTCTTTTAGTTGAGAACTTCATGCTCCATTTCATTAAGCATCAGAATTAGTAATAATGCACACAATGGGTATGTTTAAAGATTTCCTCTACACTTAGATGTCTCAAAGAAAGAAAAACGGTCAAAAGAAAGCTGCAGAAATAAAAATAGAACTGTCCTTCCCACAAATAATCCAAATTTCATCATGAAACAAAATAATTTTAAAAGATGAACCAAAGACATTTCCTGGATTTGGGAGTATCAACCATAAGAATAATGCTAGAGATAAGAGCATAAATTATATACTTGGTAGACTTATACTTCATACTGTTATGGATATGGGAATGGGAAAGGGCAATAGAGTTGAAAAAAATTACAGAGGTGATCTTAAGTGCTTACCATCTGGAAGAAAAATAGTAAATGTGAAGGAAATATAAAGAGAACCACTCAGTGCTATTTTTTTTTTAAAAGATTTTTAAAATTGATTTTTAGAGAGAAGAAGGAAGAGAGAAACAAACATCCATGTGAGAGCAGAAACACCGATGGGCTGCCTCCTGCATGCCCCTATTGGAGATCAAGCCTAAAACCCGGGCATGTGCCCTGACCAGAAATATAACTGGCAACTTTTCAGGGCATAGGAGGACCATGCCCAACCAGCTGAGCCACACTGACCATGGCAGTGCTGCATTTTCTACAAAAGAGCTGCAGTGGTACAATTCAGAGAATGAAGCAATCTGGGCAGGATTCTGATGAGCAGAAAAGAGGAGGAGTAGGAAAATGAGAGAACAAGACAAGGTCGGGCATCAGAGGATGGGAAAGTACACATAACTGTAGGGGAGTGAGGAAATTTAACTGAACTAGAAAGTAAGCAGAATATGATGGTAACTGGAGAAAAGACAGGAGAAAACAGAGCTACGCCTGAAAGCAAGCCAAGAGTTTGGACTTGAGCCCTGGCTGGTGTGACTCCAGTGGCTGGGTGTAATCCACTGCATCAAAAGGTTGCCGGTTCTGTTCCCAGTCAGGGCACATGCCAGGGGTTGGAGGGATCAATCCCTGGGGTCACTCTCACAGTGATGTTTCTATCTCACTCTCCCTTCCTCTCTAAGAAAATAAAAATCTTTAAAAAGATTGTGAACTTGCCCTAGCTGGTTTCACTCAGTGGATAGAGTCCCCTCCTGAGTTCGATTCGGGTCAAGGGAACGTATTTTTTTTTAAATTAAATTATTATCTTTGTACATATACCATTGCCCTTCCCCCCATACATGCCCTCCCTCCCCAGAGTTTTGTGTCCATTGGTTGTACTTATATGCATGTATATAAGTCCTTCGGTTGATCTCTTATCTCCCCCAGATCTCCCTAACCTCCCCACTATAAGCACCCTCTGTTTGGTGCTTTAAGGGGCATGTACTTTGGTTGCAGACTCCTCTCCAGCCTGGGCCCTGGTGGGGGCTCATGCGGGAGGCAACCAATCAATATGTTTCTCTTACATCGATGTTTCTCTCTGTCTTTCCTTCTCTCTTCCACTCTCTCTAAAAATGAATGGAAAAAATATCATCAGGGGAAGATTAACAATAAAAGATTTTGGACCTGAATAATTAACTGGGAAAAAATGGCAGTTCACCTGACTGCCTGCCTGATTACCCCTACCACCTCTGCCTGCTGGCCTGATTACCCCTAACTGCTCCCCTGCCTGACCACACCTAACTACTCCCCTGACTGCCTGATTGCCCCTAACCGCCTGCCAGCCTGATCACCCTTAACTGTTCCCCATCTACCCTGATCACGCCTAACTGCTCCCCTGCCTGACCACCCCTAATTCTCACCTGCCAGCCTGGTCGTCCCTAACTGCCTCTGCCTCAGCTCTGCCACCATTGCTTTGTCCAGAAGGACGTCTGGATGGATGTCCAGAAGACATCTGATCTAATTAGCATAATACCCTTTTATTAGTATAGATTATTAGTTTAGATTATAAAACATACAGATCCATGTTCCATTTAACCAAATTCATATTGTTAGGCTTCTAAAGGGTCTTGAGCTTTACATTATTCAAAATATGATCACTGAAAATCAATAAAGTTGAGGATTGAATGAGTCAGTTAGTATAAAGCATTTAATGGAGTACTTGGCAAGTAACAAATTCTCTATAAATGTTAGTGATTTCTTTAATATTGTCTCTTAGGTAAACATTGAATTAATTTACATTCCCAATAGCAGGGTAAAAGAGACTGATTTTTCTAAATCCCTACTAATTCTTTCAAATTCTGCCTTTTGTATTTCTTCTATGAATCATCGTTCAGGTTCTTTGACAGCTCTGTTGAATTCCTTATGCTTTTTAAAGTTCAACTGATTTCTATACTGGAAATATCCTTTGACATAGGAATAACAAGTACTTTTTTTTTTTTTTCAAAAAAAGGAATTAGCTCAAAACTTACCTCCAGTTCCTAGGACTTTCAGAAGCTCAAAATTTTCAATCCCCACCTTCTCTGCATGTCCTGTTAAATTTGCTAAAAAACAAAGGAAAAAAAGAAATAATTAAAGGGATCAGCAACAGGAGGTGGTCCCACAAGGGCTTCTGAGAAACCAGCAATGTTTTATTTCTTAAATTGAGTGGTTAAAACTATGTTCACTTTATAATTGACCAGAGGCCTGGTGCACGAAAATTCATGCACTGGGGGAGAAAGGGTGAGGTCCCTCATCCTAGCCTGTGCCCTCTCGCAGTCCGGAGCCTTTGGAAAATGTCCAACTGACAGCAGTCAGAAATCCTTAGCACTGGCCACAGAGGCACTTGGTCACCCCCAACTGCCCTCCCTTGCCAGTTTGGCCCCCCTCCTTCACCCCCCAACTGTGTTCCCTTGCCAGCCTGGTTGTCCCTAACTGCCCTCCCTTGCCGGCCTGGTCACCCCCACTGCCCTCCCCTGCTGACCTTGTCACCTCCAACTGCCCTTCCCTGATGGCCTGGTCATCCCAAACTGCCCTCCCTTGCCAGCTTGGTCCCACAACTGACCAACCCTGCAGGCCTAGTCACACCCAACTGTCCACCCTTGCAGGCCTAGGTCCCCCTCAACTGTCCTACCCTGTAGGCCTAGGTCCCCCCTGCCCAACTGTCCTCCCCTATAGGCCTGATTGCCTCCAACTGCTCTCACTTGCAGGCCTGGTCCCTCCCAACTGTCCTCCTCTGCAGGCCATCTTATAGCGGTCATCTTGTGTCCATATGGGGACTGCCGTCTTTGACCACATGGAAACAGCCAACTTTTGTGTTGGAGTGATGGTCAATTTGCATACTGCTCTTTTATTAGATAAGATGTTTCTAACTATTTACAGTTCTCTTATAGTTAATACTGAACCATTTTATTTAAAATGTAGAAGCATCACAATCATCCTTTATGGAACAGTTGTTATCCTATATAATAAATCCTAATATGCAAATCAACCAAATGGCGCAATGACTGGGCACTATGAAACACACTGACCACCAGGGGGCAGATGCTCAACACAGGAGCTGTCTCTAGTGGTCAGTATACTCTCACTTAGTCAGAAGCCGGGCTCACCGCTGGCAAGTGCAATGGCAGTGGCGGGAACCTTTCCTGCCTCCACTGCAGGTGGGTGGTAAGGAGCGAGGGGTCCCAGACTGCGAGAGCCCCAAACTGCTAGAGGGATGTCTGACTGCCAGCTTAGGCCCGATGGGGATCAGGCCTAAGCCAGAAGGTGGACATCCTCAAGGGGTCCCAGACTGTGAGAGGGCACAGGCCAGGCTGAGGGAGACCTCCCAATCCAGTGCATGAATTTCATGCACCATGTCTCTAGTACATTATATAGAATGATAACATATTTTAAATGTTACACATTGCATAAGACAAAGTCAAAAGTTTTGATTATATGATACAATTTATAAAGAAATTAAGAGGAAATATTAGACTTTTGCAGTTCTGTAGGTATTTATCATTTTCTGGTGATCTTTTTCTTTCAAGAATCCAAAATTCCATCTGGTATCACTCTTTCTCAACCTTGAAGAACTTTTTTGACATTTCTTGCAGTGCAGAAATATCTGAGTTTTCTTTTATGTGAAAGTTTTCTTATCCTTCATTTTAAAAAAATTTGAGATATTATTCACATACTATTAAATTCATCCTTTTAAGGTATATAATCCAGTTTTGTGCTTTTTCTTTCTTTTTTTTTTTCTTCAATATATTCACAAGGTTGTGCCATCATCACCACTATCTAATTCTGGAATCATCTTGATACTTGAAGGATATTTCTTTTTAATAAAGAATTCTGAATTGACAGGTTTTTTTTGTTTTTTTTTTGTTTTTCTTCTAGCACTCTACATAAACATGTTCTTCCATTTACTTTTGGCCTCCATAGTTACTGAGGTGAAATAATTCATTAAATGGGTCCTTGCTCCTGTTAGAAATGTGTCTTTTCTCTTACTGCTTCCAACCTTTGCTCTTTATCTTTGGCTTTCAACAGTTGTGCCATAATGTGACTTGATGTGAACTTCTTTGGGTTCACTGAGTCAGGTATTTATTGAGCATTATTATACCTGTACATTTCTGGTTTTCATCAAACTTGGGAAATGTTCAAAATGTGTTTTTTACCCCATTCCCTCCTCTCCTTCTCAGATTCCAATTACATATATGTTGGATTGATATTACCTAAGAGGTCCCTGAAACTCTATATTCATTCCTTCCCCACCCCCAATATATTTTCTCTGTTCTTCACATTAATTCCTGTTGCTCTATCTTCGAGTTCAGTTACTTTTCCTTTTGAAATGTTAAATCCATGCAGTGAATTTTTAATATCAAATATTGTATTTTTCATTTCTAAAATTTTCATTTGATTTTTTTTTCATTGTTTCTATTTATCTGATTTATTTTTTCCCCATTCACTGACAGCATGTTGTTTCACTTCATTGAGGATATTGTAAAAGCTGCTTTAAAACTCTTGTCTCTTATTGCCAATATCTCATTCATCTCAGGGTAGGACTCAGTTGATTTTCTTTCCTCTTGGGATATATTCCATTTTCTTAATTCTTCATATGTAGGGCAATTTTGGATTGGACCCTTAACATTATAAATGTTTTTTTGTGAAGACTCTAGATTATTATTTTTTTCCAATGAGAGCTGTTTTTTTTTGTTTGTTTTTTTTTTTTTGTGTGTGTGTGTGTGTGTGTGTGTTTGTTTTGTTTGTTTTAGCAGGCAAATATCTTGGTTTGGCTCCTGTTTCTTAGGAGGCAGCTCTAGCCCAGTACAGATTTAATTTTTTTTTTAATTTTTAATTAAATTATTATCTTTGTACATATACCATTGCCCCCCCATACATGCCCTCCCTCCCCAGAATTTTGTGTCCATTGGTTGTACTTATATGCATATATACAAGTCCTTCAGTTGATCTCTTATCTACCCCAGATCTCCCTACCCTCTCCGCTATAATTTGACAGTCTGCCTGTTGCTTTACTGTCTCTATATCTATCTGTTGGTTCTTCAGTTTATAATGTTCTTTATCATCCATAAATAAGTGAGGTCATGCGGTGTTTCTCTTTCATTGACTGGCTTATTTCACTCAGCATGACGTTCTCCAATTCCATCCAGGTTGCTGCAAATGATGAGAATTTCTTCTTTTTTATGGCAGCATAATATTCCATTGTGTAGGTGTACCATAGTTTTTGGATCCAATCATCTGCTGATGGGCATCTAGGCTGTTTCCAAATCCTAGCTATTGTAGATTGTGCTGCTATGAACATAGGGGTGCATATATCCTTTCTGATTGGTGTTTCTAGCTTCTTGGGATATATTCCTAGGAGTGGAATTACTGGGTCAAATGGGAGTTCCATTTTCAGTTTTTTGAGGAAGCTCCATACTGTTCTCCACAGTGGCTGCACCAGTCTGCATTCCCACCAGCAGTGCACGACAGTTCCTTTTTGTCTTTAGATGGGCTGCTCTTAGTCTGTTGTACTCATGCTTAATTCAGAAGTCACTCACAGATGTGTACACACAAAATTTGAGAACTCTCCCTTCTCTAGCTCTTCTCCTTCTGGGATTCCCCCACTATCTTCAAAGGTCAAGGTTGGCTGGTTTTAGTTTTCTAGTTTCCCTGGCCAGAGAGACTATTGTTTTTTCACCAGAGTCCTCACAGTTATGGACTGTACTCAGAAGCAGAAATCAGGGAAAAGACAGTTATTTCCTAAAGCTCACTTCCTCCACTTGGATTGTATTAAATTCAGATTTTATGGTTTGGTGTGTCTGTGTGTGTGTGTGTGTGTGTGTGTGGTGTTTTTTGTTTGCTTTTTTTTTTTTTTTTTTTTTTTTGCAAATAAGTTATCTGGTAAGGGGTTTTATTCTGACATTATAAGAAGCAAAAGTCTGCTTAATAGTAGTTTCTACTTTAACTTCAACTACTGCAATAGCAAGTTAACTTCAAAGAGTAAAATAAAATTTAAAATGTGTATGATATAGGCCCGTCCATACGATTATTTATTTTACATTACATCTGTTAGGCAAAGTAAGTGCTCACACATCTATAATAAAAGCGTATTATGCTAATTAGATCAGACGTCCTTCCAGACGACCTTCCAGACAAAGCTGGAGCTGCAAGGAAAGCCCGTGTCCTGGGTGCCAGCTGGCAGCCAGAGGGAAGCCCAGGTCTCAGGTGCAAGAGGGAAGGAAGGTCTACTACTGCATGAATTTTGTGCATCGGACCTCTAGTATAGAAATAAATCAGTAGCTATTATATTTAGGAATGGGAGGAATATTTATTAATTATAAAGTTTTTTTTTCATTGTTTTAAAAACAAAACATAAAAAGAAATACAGTATGGAGTTTCCTCAAAAAGTTAAAAATGGAACTGCCATTTGATCCAGTATAGTAGTCCCACTTCTAGGATTATATCCCAAGAAACCAGAAACACCAATCAGAAAGGATATACGCACCCCTATGTTCATAGCAGCACAATTTACAATAGCTAAAATTTGGGAACAACCTAAGTGCCCATCAGCAGATGAGTGGATTAAAAAATTGTGGTACATCTACACAATGGAATACAATGCCGCAACACTATAAAAAAAGAAGGAACTTTTACCATTTGCAGCAGCATAGATGGAACTGGAGAACATTATGCTAAGTGAAATAAGCCAGTCGGAGAAAAATAAATATCACATGATCTCACTCCATGTGGGGTGTAATGAGCAATATAATTTGATAAACAAGAATAGATCCAGAGACAAATGGCAGGGGAGGTGAAATGGTTAGAGAGCAACCAAAGGACTTGCATGCATGCATCTTAGCATAACCAATGGACATAGACACTGAGGCAGTGGGGGCTTGCCCGGGGTGGGAATGGCTGGGAGGGCGATGTCAACTGGGGAAAAAGTAGACATATGTGAAACTTAAGATAATTTAAGGAAAGAAAAAAGAAATGATACCATATGGAATCTTAAACAATGACAAAAACATATTAAAGCATGTGAGTCTACATGTCCAAATGTTCTCATTTCTATGCTAGTATTATT